CCACAAACCGGTCATAAGCCATCACGGTCAGGAGGAAGTTGTCCAACTCTACAAAGAGTATGAAAAAGTACATCTGGGTGATGCAGCCTGCATAGGTTATGGCTCTGTTCTGCATCTGTATGTTCACCAGCATCTTTGGGATGGTGGTGGAGGTAAAACCAATGTCTACAAAGGAGAGATTGGAGAGGAAGAAGTACATGGGGGTGTGCAGGTGAGAGTCTGAAATGGTAGCCAGGATGATGAGCAGGTTTCCAAACACAGTGATCAGGTACATGGAGAGGAAAAGCTCAAATATAAGGGGTTGTAATTCCGGTTCCTCTGAAAATCCCAGAAGAAGGAATTCTGCAATTCTTGTATTGTTCCTTGGTTCCATTTAGTGGTGATGACTTCCAGGAAAGAGAACACTAGTATCACCAATTTTCACTGGAAAGGGCATTACTCAATTATTTTAAAATCCTACGGTTTATGTTTTTAGTAAAAAAATGCATTGCTGTAATTCATGTATGGTCCTTCGCTCCTTTGTACTCCTCACTTCTGGGATATTTCTGATTGGGAATTTCTGCCCCATTCTCAACCTTGCCACAAGAGGTCATGTATGCTACAGTTTTAATGAGAAATTATTCAATGTGTTTGAGTGATATAAATTGAGAGCCCACCATAAACTAGGTACTGTCTGGGTAAAAAGTGTAAGTTCCTGAGAAACTAAAATACTTACATGCCACTGATGGATAAGACATATGAGCTGACAAAGAAGTAATTATGTTATTTATAAGATGCTAATAAGTGCATAGAAGAACAAATTATGTAAAGGGAAGAGATTGGACAGAGGTACCACCAGCTCTTGGGTGTGTCCAGGCAAAACTGGCAAACAAAATGGTGTTTGAACAGGTAGAGAGGGTGGGAGCTGTGAAGGTATCTGGAGAAGTGTATAACTTGCAGAGAGAATAAGTAGAGGGCAGAGTGATGAGATGGTATTAGGAGATATTAAGGAACAAGGAGGCCTGCTGCAGCTGAAACTTGTAATCCTCTTAACTCCTTATGTATGCAGTTCTCTAAGAATGTGGATAAAGCAGCAAGCTTCCCATTGACATGTAAACTTGGGCCACAATTTGATATGATTATTTTGTGTCATGTACTTAGGGAAATTTTGTAAAAAATCTACTTAATAAGCAGAGAGAGAGAAAGATTAATTAAATGGGCTGAGAGGGGAAAAGCCTGATGTAGTGAGGTGATCCATGAATGGATGAAAATCACAGGATGAAATAAGCTTCTTCGGCTCTAAGAGGGTGTCAACTCTGGGGAAATACTTTTGATGTCCAGAAGAATCAACAAAAGAGAAAAAAACATACCTGAAAGAATAAGGAGTGATATCTATATAATGACTAAATATTTTACAGATTTAATACTCCCAGAGAAAAATGAGCAAATGAACTGAACCCATGATTCGAAAGACAAAATATATAAAATATAACTAAATTGAGGGTGTGTTTAAAGGATACAGTGGCAAACGTCTTCATTCAATAAAAGATATTAAATATAACACATTTGGAAACAAACAAACAAAAAAACAGGATGGGACTCTTGGATATACCATGTATCAGTTGTCTGAAATCGGATAACCACAACCATTCTAAGGGTTAATATCTATTTTCTACTATGTAGTGGGATAGATGCATCCTTCCTCCTAGTCTGGTTAACAGAATTTATACATACATATATATATATAAAGATTAGAATAATTTCTTCCTTTCAGCAAATAAATGTTTTTCATGAGGGATGAGATAAGGCTGAATTTATTTTTTCTTCTGCCTCTCATTTGTTTCCATTTCTTCTTCACCTCTAAGTTCCCAATTCCACAGCCTTATCTTGGTCTCTTGTCATCTCTCCCAGTCTTTTAAGGCTGGTATCTTCTAACCTGATATTCACATTGATCCGCAGAAATATTCCTACCATTTCAAAGCTGATTATTTAATGTTCTGACTTAAACCTGCCTTATTCCCAGTGATTCCTCACTGGAGAATGAAGCTAAAAATTTGTCAGCTTCAACCACAAGACTCAACTGTTAAGACCTTCACACTGTCCTGTCCCACCCACAGAGCTCTTCTAGACATTGAACTTGACTTCCAGCTTCACCAGGAGCCAAACCGTCAATTCTCTAAGCCTTATACATTCATTTTATTCAACTTGAATCTCACCCCCTGATCTCACAGACATTTGTCACTCTTCTCCATCTGGAAAACTCCATCTATTTTTTCCAGTACTCCCAGGAGTCATCTCTTTAATGAGCTCTTTCTTTTTCTTTTTCTTCCTTTCTTCTTTCTTTATTTTTAAAATTCTAACATACCACGGTAAAAAGACACAGCTGCATATGCTTAATTTACGTGTTGGGATTATCATCGTGTTAATTTTATTTGATTCCAATTCATTTTGCCAACTGGACTGTGAGCACCTAGGGATATAGCAATGTTATATACATTTCCTCATCCCCTAGACTGTTTAGTTTTCAAGAATACTTAAATAAATGCATACTGTATAACTAAAATGAAAGAATTTGGTGTCCCAAACATTTCTGATAAGTGGGGGGAAAAAAAGAGAGGGATTAGAAGATGCTAAAATAGATGTGGAAGTTGTGCAAGGAAAATTTTCCTCATATTCTGAAATAAGAACCCAGTTGAGAGGTAGAATATGGTTTTGTATGAATTCAATAGGATAGAGAAACCAGCAAATGGTGTAATGGTTACATTGCTGGAGTCCCACATGGCCGACTACAGTTGGCGTCCTGAACCTGAGGGCTTGAAACTCATGCCAGGCACATGTGCATGTGTGCCCAAGATCCCAAGAGGATGGAGGAGAAGGGATTGTAGCATGGACTTCCCCTGAGGGGTGATTTATCACTTTCTGTCTCTGTCTCTCTGGAGAGAACACACACCTTATAGAAAAATAATCTCTCTCTCTCTAAAAAAAAGAATGAAATAGGATAGAATAAATTAGATAAAATAGATAATATCAGAGAGTATCATGGAAGTGTAACATAAAATTATTTCATCAAACTGTGTGTGTGTGTGTGTTTACATGTGCCTACATGTTAACAATGTAAAAATATCTCTGATTTTCAACACAGTCAAGAAAGTCTGGAATTCACTACAATAACTATAAGAGTAGTTTTAGAAAAGAAGCCAGTTCCAGCTAATGAGGAGACAGCAACAGGAATGAGAAGCCTAAGAGAGACTACATGGGAGTCCAGCTTGTAGAGACAAAAGGCACCCAGCCTGGGACTGAGGTGACCTCCAGACTTGAAAGCCTCACACTGAGAAGATATTTTTGCCTCACTTGAATCTCTATCTGTTCCCTGCTCAAATTATTTTTCTTGTGCCTATTCATAGTTATATGACCACACTTGTTTCTAAATTTTCCAGTAGGGCATGACGCAGGGTTTTTTGCTCATTTTTCATTGTGGCATCTTCACTTTGTCTTCTTGGGCTTTAGGTTTTTATCTCTTTACTGACAAATCCAGTGGGCATACCTGTTTATGGTCCTCATCCAACATACAATGTCCTTCTGGACTATATTCTATAAAACCCTGTTTATGTCATGACATTCTTGTTTATACAATTTAACCTTGGGGATATTATACATACACACACACTTATTTCATTCTTCTGTACCTTTTACATTATAATGTAAGATCCAAACGAGTAGGGGCCTCACTTGCTTTGTTCACTTTAGTGGTCTCCCAAAGTTCTTTATCTCATTAAATTAAGAGTTTAGGGACCAGCAGTTAGTGTAATGGGTATGTGGCTGAACTCCCATGTAGTCAATCGCGGTTTGAGTCCCAGACCCGGTGGCTTAAAACTCACTCCAGGAGCGTGTGCGTGCATGCCAAAGATCTCGAGAGGAGAATGGAGAAGGGATTGCAGCATAGCCATCACCACTGGGGGGTGATTTCTCGCTTTCTCTCTCTGTCTCTCTCTGTCTATCTGGTGAGCGCACGCACCCTCTAGCAGAAATCTCTCTAAAAAAAAAGCATTTATAAAATAATAATAATGGCAGGAAATATGTAATAAGGTAAATGGAATTGAATCAAAATATCTATTAAATGAAATGGAATGAAAATATAAAATAAATTCTCAATGAAAAATGTAAAATACTCATTTAATTACAATGACATAGGTTTCCAGTTTAATATTAAATTGAAAAGATCTGGAAATAAAATAATAAAACATACACATTTAAGAATCAGTAGAAGAAATAATATTTATTAATGTTTATATTTGAATGTATTCAAATATATCTCCATCCAATAGAAATGAATAAATTCAAATATCCTTATGAAAAAGAATGGTTGATCCTTAGCTGAACTCAAAGAATATGTTCCACAGGATGGATATATTATACTTACTATTTTGAAAACTCAATTCAATCACAAAAGTAAAAAAGTAGTAATAAGAAAATTAGATATGAAATTAGATGGCAAAATATATAAATGATCATTTATTACTAGTAATAATGCTGAAAAAATTCTAAGCTTAAAAAGCAAAGAGGGGGATAGATATGCAATATAACTGATCAATTTGGCCACACAAAATTTATAAACTTTTACATATTACTCCACAAAGTAAAGCATCTTCTATCTATATATCATCTAATAACAAATAGCAAGCAGAATACTTAGTGCAATAACCCTAATTCTTTGAAAGAATAAAAACAGAAAACTACAGTACATAAAATAAAAGAACTTGCAAAGACAGTTTTCAATAAAGAAAAAGGCTAACAGTGCTTGCTTCGGCAGCACTTATACTAAAATTGGAATGATACAGAGAAGATTAGCATGGCCCCTGCTTCTCAGTTCTCTCAGGTCTTTGGGGAAAAAGGCACATACTCTTGGCGTGATCTTCAAGCAATTGAGTCTGGGACTCAAACTGTTGTCAATCATATTAGAATACAGTGTCTTAAGCCCCACACCACCTGCTGGGCCTGTGAAACACTTTTTAATCCCCTAAAGGAGGTGCATCATTCCTGGAGGTACTGCAATACCAGTCTCTGCGTGGAGTGAATGGATTAAGTTCCCATTCATGTCTTTGCTCCAAAAATCCATTTACTATATTGTCTTTACATAGAGGATGTATCAGATATTTAACTGATAAGAATACATACTACACTACATTTTAGCCAAAAGGCTGATAAATAATGAGACACTTCAACTTTATTTATTCTTTTTTTTTTTTTTTGCCAGACAGAGAGAGACAGAAAATGAGAAATCACCCACCAGGGTGCATGGGTGACATCTCAGTCCCTTCTCCTCCGTTCTCCCTGTGGGATATTGGGCATACATGCACGCACATACCTGGCATGATTTTCAATTCAGGTCCAGGACTCAAACCAAAGTCAGCCATGGGGTGTCCAGCACCTTAACCAATGCACAACCTGATGATCCCTGACACTTCTCTACCTTTTGTTTTATTTTTAAGAATCATTTTGTTTAACTTTATTTATATATTTATTTAAAGTTGATCAGAGAGGGACAGCATGATTGAAACAGAGAGAGAGAAAGTGAAAAAGCAAGCCACCAAGTCTGGGACTTGAACCACAGTTTGCCATGTTAGAATTCAATATTCTTAACCACCACACCACCTTCTGGGACTCAACATTTCTCTTTTTAACATACCAAATAAATCAATTATGAATTGGTTGAAAACAAGCAAACACAGTGATCTCGTTGTTCTTGGCTCTCAGGTGACTTCAGGTAAAATTCTAAATTTCCATTCTGTCTGAATCTTTTCTGCAAGGCTCTGCAAGGCTCTCAGGATGTGATAAAAATATGTTGTTTGTGTAGGCATTTACATTCCTTTGCAGGAGTCTGAATAATGAAGATTGAAGCTTAGTCCTGGTAGAACAGAAGGATGGAGTGAAGCATTTGTCCTCTAGTCCAAGTTAAGACTGCAAAAGCAACAACTATGTCCCAGCCAGCTTAAGGCTGCAAACTGATGAAAATAGGAGGTATTTATAGGTCCTATTATCAGTGCATTTTGCACATTTCCTTCTTGTTATTCTAAATCCTGATTACCTGATTTCCCTTGTGGACACTGGTCTGGGCAGAAAGAACAATTATCCTGCTTATTCTATGTTCCCAAGAGATAAAGTCAGAAGTCAGGTGAATCCAGTTTTTATTTACTCCTCTCTGTGAACACATCTGCTTCCAGAGGTTTATCCTCATGAGCACCTTTTGCCAACCCTGAATTAAAGGTTTCTATAATGTCTGAAATACCTGTCTTTATTGGCTCTCTCTGAGGTCTAAACCATTGACTTGTACTGAGATATAGCTCCTGATGAGAAAATTGATTTTTTTTCATCAAGGAGTAAAACTGTGTTAATCTTCTATAAAACCTTGGGTAGTTACTACTGCTTATGGCTTCATGATGGTTTTGACAAAGCAATTAGGAGGTTTATGCTTGCAACACGATTTAACAATTGCCATTTAGTCTTTCATTTATGCAACATTCAGAGGTATAAGAGATATATTTAGAAAATGTATACTCCTTGGGCTGGTGTTAGATGGATCCACATCATTCAATTTTTTAAACATCTAGTCTCTATTTACTTATTTTTAAAATTATTCTTTTTACACTTTTCAAATTTACATTTAATCACTGTACATCTTTATAGTGTACCATTTAATCTTGATGTGTCTATTATATAAGGTCAAATAACATTAGGGACTCATTTTACATATGCAGAAATGAGGCTCATAAGTGTTAAGTAATTTCCCCAAATTTATGAACCAAGAGAATAAAGTTTTTCATTAAAACTTTCTCAAGATAATGGGGCCGGCAGGTGGCTTGGTGGTTGAGGGCATTGGACACCCACATGGGTGACTGCGGTTTGAGTCCCGGACCTGGCAGCTTTTCTTCCCACTTTCCCTCTCTCTCTTTCTGTCCCTCTCTGGTCAAAATTTTAAAAATAAATAAAATAAATAAATGAAGTTAAATAAAGAATAATTCTTAAAAATAAAAAGTTTTTAAAAAAAGAACTTCCTCAAGATATTTATAGGTCTTATGGTCTAAGTCATTTATTCTCAACCAGGGTGATTGTACCTCCAGGAAATATTTGGCAATGTCAGGTGAAATTTCTGTTGTCCTAACTGGGGAGGTACTACTGATACTGAGTGTGCCAAAGCCAAGGATGATTCTCAAAGCTCTATAAGGCAAAGAAGAGCTCACACAATTACCAAAAACATGTTAACAATTAGATGTTGAGAGATTACTCCAGACCAGAATATATGCCATCAATGCATATATGTCTCACTTGAGTATATAGTTCAAATGTAAATTCTGATTTGGCAATGGGAACATGAGTCCAAGTATTCTGGACTTGTAGCTAAGTCTCTGGTGATGTTGATGCTGTGGATTCTGTTCTATAAATTGGTTTTTAAAAATCAAGTCTCCAGTTTATTGCGGCATTATTCACAATTAATTGGTAAGACATAGAACCAGTCAAAATGTCTGTGAACATATGAATGGATGAAAAAAAGTGTGGCACATATATACTATGGAATACTACTCAGCCATAAGTAAAAATGAGACCCTGGCATTTGATAGAAAGTGGACAAATATAGAAGATTTATTGCTAAATGAATCAAGCCAGACTATGAAAGAGAGGCATTGTATGCCCCCACTCAATACAAACCGAATGTCAGCACTCTATGGCAGAAACTGGATGACTGGAAGGTATAAAAGCATGGAGAGCAATGACAATAGTAGAGACAGTGTGGGAGGAGGTTGGGAAATGGGGAAGGGTGAGAGGAAGGAAATCAAAGAGAAAGAAAAGCAAAATATTCAAGGGACACAAAAATGGAAAATTACCTGTTGATGATAATGGGTATGGTAATATCTTTGACTGAACCTGTATATATTGTATTCATGATGGGAAAATTCATTTCGCATGATGTAAAGATACCCAGTGATTGAATGTAAAAAAAAAAAAAAAAAAAAAAATCAAGAAAATTCGGCACATTTTTTGCATAGAAAAACACTAAAAAAAAATATGCCATGACTTTTCCTACAACCCAATACTTTAAAGTCATTCTCACCTACAGTAATACCAGTCTATCAGTCTATGCTTTGTTTCACTCAGCAATATTGTCTCTGATGTTCTCATGCTGACTCTGAACAGTCATATTAGAAATGTCTAGGATTTTTAAATATACTACTGTTTTCTGCTCTTGGAAATATATGGGGGCAAGCAGGTGGCATGGAGGTTAAGGCAGCTGGATCTCATATGACTGACTGCCCTGTTTGAGTCATAGACCAGTGGCTTGAAAATCATGCAGCATGCTCAAAATGCCAAGAGGAGAATCAAAGATATTGCTGTGTGGCCATCCTCCTGGGGGGGTTGTTTCTCACATTCCTTCTCTTTATCTCTTGTGAACACACTCACCGTATAGCAAAAACTAAACATAAAATTTGTAATTTCTATTTTTCAGATCACCTAATTATTCCTTCAACTCTTCTAGGAACTCCTCCAACTCTTCTAAGCCCTCTTGTCTTTGTTGTTGCAAGTCTATAGCATATGGTTCTACACATTTAATGTCAACAGAAATATAAACTACTTGCTTGTTTATTTTCCTCTCAGGTAAGTAATTTAATTTTTCTCTTACATATAAGCTCATTTATTGTCTTTAGGAAGATTATTCTTTGCCACTTTTGACTCTGTGTCTTGATGACATCTCAATTGGGAGGAGTTATATCACTAAAATGGTTGACATGGAAATTGGTCATGGGACATGTTTTTTTCTGACTGAACGTGTACAGTGTTGACACATTCAATGATTTCAATATGCCCTTTCAAGACAAAATGTGTTCAGATTTAATTCCTATTCTGATGGATTTAAGAGTAGAGACTTTGGTGTTGCAAATGGAGACTTTGCGAGGCGAGTAGGATCAGAGTGGGAGTTCTTGTGATTGTATCTGGGTTAGTTTACAAGAGGGGATATGAGACAGAGATATAGACATTCTCTGCTTAAGCTTTTGTGAGGTGATGCTCTCTACTGCCTCTCTGACAAGAAGACCCTCACCAGATGCATCCCTTTGATCTCTGAATTTTAAAACTGTGATATAAATATACACATTGATAAATCACCCAGTTTTAGTCACTCAGTAATTAAGCCATAGAACAAAATAAAGCAAATGCCTAAAAAACGGTAAGAGATATTGTGAGATCTCAGGACATCTCTTAATATTTCTCTTTCAAATTGTGCTTACTGCTCAAAATTCAAGAACTAATTTAATTTTTATAGTTATATGGACTAAATAATTTTGTCCCATCCAAAATTAATATTTCCTCGTCCCCAATGTGAAGACTTTCTCAACATAGATCCTGATGTGGAAAAAAAAGTATGATATTAAGCCGTTTATTATGAGGGTAGCTTGTTACACAGGAATAGCTTACTATAACAACAATCCATGCAAACATAACCAAAGGCACTTAGGAGAATCTGCTGCCTCTTGTATGAAGCATTTGCTCTGCTATATGAAGGCAGCATTGTTGATTACTTGGGCATTCATATTTACTTCATATTACTTTATTAAAAAAACTACATTTGATATTCCCTTTTTTGGTAACCAAAAGAGGTTGAAAGGGCATATGTGAAAGGATTACATAAAATTCATTGAAAACTATATTGTAAAAAAAAAATCCATGAATTTCTATTTTATTTTATAATTTCTTATTTACATTTAATTGTATATCTTTAGGGTGTTTAATATGGTTTCTCAAAGCATGCAAGCAGCATATAATAACTAAATCACAAATATCATCATATATATCATTTTTCAACAAAGACTTTTACATTCTTTAATTGTTTTTTAATTAAATCATTAAATGATTTAATGTATTCATTAAATTAATTTTTATCCACATACCTTCTACACATCCTCCACCATTCTTCCCCCTCCCAATATAGTCTCTGGTATCTAATTTGTCCTCTCTACTTTGAATCTTTCATTTTCTGCCACAGGATGCAGATGTTTGGTATATATTTAATGGTGATAAACAGAATTTTTCTTTCACAGTGTAGCTTATTTTGCTTATTGTTCAATCTCCTATATTCATTTCCTTTGTATCAAATGCTAAAGGCTCACTGTTCCTTATGACTTAGTAGTATTCCAGTGTATATGTGTCATATTTTTAATCA